GGCAGGTAGAGGGAAGAACACTTGACAATTTGGGGAATCAAGAATTGTTTCGTGTCAAAGGTGGTGCTTGAGCTGCATTTGAAGAAACTGGAGAATTCGATGATGTAAAAGTGAGGAGAAAAAAATAAATGTTTATTTACTGATTGGGGAGGGAATACATTCCAGGCATGAGGAACAGCTGTGTGTAAAGGGACTGAGATGGGAAATTGATTGCCGTTTGTGAATAAGAAAGAGAAGACTTCTTTAGGCCTCTTGTAGAGAGTAGAATGCTGAAGGGAAAAATCAGTTAGGGCTTGGTTGTGAAGGGTTTTAAAAACCAAAGAAATTTGTACTTTAAGCTTTGGTAGCTTAAAACTTCATTAAGACTTTGGAATACTCTGTACTTCTTAGAGACCATATGGAGCCAATGGAAGTATTAGGATCAGATAAGTGCTTAAGTAAAGTCAATTTTGTAGCTGTGTGGAACATGGAGTGGAATAGGGAACAGAGAGACTTATTAGGAGATGTTTGTCATATTCTAGGTGAAAAGTGGTCAGTGCCTAAACTTCGACAGTGGTTATATGAGTAGAGAGAAAGGGTTTGATGTGAAAGATACTGGCAGAGTATTAATTGCAAGGTTTGACAAGAGATGGGATATTTGGCATGGGCAATGAATATAAGTAGAGCTCAGGGTGATAACTTAGAATTTCATTGGTCTAGGGAACTGCCATGTGAGGAAACTCATTTCAGGTTGTCTGTCGTTGTAGAGTTTTTTGGGACCCTAAGAGATTAAATTAATTACCCAGGGTCACACAGTCAGTATGTACCAGAGTGTGAGGTGTTCTTGTCTCCAACACCAGTTCTGTATACTATACCATTCTGCCTCTTAAATTAAAGCTCACTATAGTCCCACACTTAACAGTGAGTGAACAGCACAGAATTCCCATTCTATGATGTTATGGTGGAAATGCTGTGTATAGAAAATCCACTCCCTGGAACCACTTGTGAGAGGCCCAAATCCTTCTGATCTTGTCACAGTTCACTGGTAGTTGGAGTCCATCAGTGGCCCATGAGTCTCTGGGATAGCATCTCTAAGATTTGAGTTGCTTGGGGATTTTGCCCTAAGCAGGTGGTAAACTCCTAAGGCTAAACACTGGCACAGTGCTGATAGCCTACAAGTACCATAAGGGAAAACTGAAAAAAACTTTGAGGAACATAACTAATTATCAAAATTGCCTATGACTCGAAATAGCTATGAAGAATGTGCTTTGTAGATGTGTACAAGTACCATAAGGGAAAACTGAAAAAAACTTTGAGGAACATAACTAATTATCAAAATTGCCTGTGACTCGAAATAGCTATGAAGAATGTGCTTTGTAGATGTAAATACATTGCCAGTGATGTATGCAAGAAATTTCATGAAAGCTATCATTAAGAGGTGGTATGATCAGAAAAAGAAACCAATCATGTAATAGGGAGAGGGAATGATTGATAGATGTCCCCCAGTACCTATGAAATATTAAAAGACTTAGAAGAAGTCTGTCATACAGGCAGAAAGTCCATGGAGAATTTATACAAAGATATAGACAGGAACTATATATGATGAAAAGGTGTGGGTGCCTATCTGTACCAGCCTACATGAATCATGCAAAATAAGGAAATGCTTCTCAGTACTTCTCAGCCATAACTAGTAGTCAAAATTTATGGTTTTCAAGTCAGTCAAGAGAAAAGGAGTGGAAGAGAGAAATACATTTAATCCTTTAATACAGTTTTAAAATGTAGTAACATGAGCAGATATTTTGTTTAACACAATGGCATAGATGTCATAATTTCTATGAGTTTGTCACATACTTGTAAAAGTACTTTGTTTAAAACTGCTATATTGGCTGGATTTCGACATTTATGTATCTTAAAAGTTAAATGATGTAATTTCCTAGTTCTGTGAAATTACTAGTCGCTTTGTTATAATTTAATACAAATTTTACCCTGAGATCTTGTCTAAATCGAAAAGTACATATAATGGAAATTTTGAAGTTGTCCTTTGTAGTTGTCTCTAAACTCAGAAATCAGTTGAGAGGTTTTGGAGGTTTAATTACACTCTAATTACTTATTCCTTTGCAAGCAACCAGTTATTAAGTTAAATGCTTTATTGCTTCACTGAGTCTATGATCTCATCAATGTGGGTACTCTGCATCATTGCAGATCTCTGCTTATGTCTTTCATCCTTCATGATTTTCATCCTTATCCTCCAAAGAAATTATAGTTTAAAGGTTTTCTTTTATGAGTGGAGAAAATGAAAGAAAACTAAGAAAAATATTTTGCTTGTCCTTGTGAATTTACTATCCTATCAGGAGCATATAACAGCTCTTTAGCAATTCTGAGATTCTATAAATGTGCATTAATAACTATAATAGAAATGAGATACATGCATGAAATAAGTACAAAGTGCTGTTCTAGCTCTTAGGGGAAAAGGAAAAAAAATCCTTCAGTTTCATTTAACTCTACAGAGATGTCTGAACACTGGTCTCCTGATTGGATAATTGCTGTGGTTAAGCCTGAAGGTTAGGAATCACTTCTCCAAGTTCAGTGGCATGAGTAAATTCAGTTTTCAGTAATACTGATCTAAATCACTGGTAATTGAGAGTCACAGAATCTGTTGTTATATTTAAATTTCATGATAAGAAATGAAACTATTAGACATTTGCAATTACTGAAAATGATTGAATATTCTATTTTTATTTTAATAAGCGTCACCATATGACTGAATTCTAAGTAAAGCACCTCTTGTTTGTTAAAAAAAATCTTTTGGCATAATTAGCCTACAACACAGTCTTTTAATTTTCACATGTTCTGTACATGTTCTATGATACAAATATGGAAAGGTTTGTTTTAGGATGTTTCTTCTTGTCTTCTATCCAGTATAACATGAATTTATTTATATTTCCATTACATTTTTTTGTAAGAATTTTATAGCACAGCCTTTGAGGTAATTGTAATGTGGCTTAGGAATCCCAGAACCAGAGCAGGATTCACTCTTCATTCTCTTGACAAATATTTGTTGAGCATTTATGTACCACAACCCAAGTGTATATTTTTAGGTTGTAGCTGCCCCCTGTAGTATAGATGTGATCATTTATAACTCAGATGAAATGAATTATTGTTAATATGAAAATTCTTAATTAGAATTTACATAATACTAATGCCCTAGTGACTACTGTCAAAGAACATCTAGTAAGCTATAAAGAGACTATGATGTGCCTCAGTGGAGGGAAAACTCACAAGAACAGAAGTACAGATCTTTGAAATATTGAAGTGTATGTGTGTACACCTGCATGTTTGTACTTACATGTATACATGTGTTATGTGTATGGGCAGGTAGGTGGCACAGTGGATAGAATGCCAGGTCTGAAGTCAGGAAGACTTGAGTTCAATGAAATCTCACCTCAGATAGTTACTAGCTGTGTGACCTGACCAAATCACTTACCCCATTTTGCCTCAGTTCCTCATCTGTAAAATGAGCTGGAGAGGGAAATTGCAAGCCTATCCAGTATCTTTCCCAAGAAAACACCAAATGTGGTCATGATGGTCTGACTCAAATGACTGAACTGACAACAAAGATGTAACATCATCTTATTCTATCATAAGATGAAAAATTTAGAGCTGTAAAGGATCTTTAAAGCCATTTAGTATACCACTCTTATTTAACAAATGAAGAAACTGGCTCCTTGAGGTTTAGTCACATTGGCTTTAGAAATATGCATATTTATGTATGACTAAGTTTCTGGATTAAGTGTAAACTGGTCTTTGTTTTTGTTAGCTGTATAGTATTCAATAAATGGAAATCAGAAAAAATAAGCTAGATTACTACATAAATGTTTAATAAATAATACAAAATTGTTATTTGTCATGAAAATGAAATTTTATAGATTGTGAAAAAGTAGTATTAATGAGAAGAACATACGAATACCCACATTTATCTCCCTTTATTTCATTGTTTGTGCATAGGGCAACTGAATCTTAGCAAGTTTATTCTGGTAAATGTTTAACAACTAGCTAGGGGTTGTGCACAGGATATAGTTTTTTAAGTTTAATCTACAATATTGACATTTTCTCCATCACTTTTAGTCTGAACGGTCAACAAAACAATAAATCTTTGTAGCTGTTTTCTGATTTCCAGGTTGTGAATAAATGCTCACAATTTATTCTCCCTAGTCTTTACGAGCTGACTTAGGACTCTTAACTTATTTTCTTATTAAACTCCAGGTTCTTTTTTTAGTTCCTGATGATACAAAAAAAAAATAGTATCTTTCCTCAGTAGCTTATGTTTAGTTGGTGAAACATCATGTAACGTGTATAAGTATATAAAATACATAAATGAGATAGTTTTGAGGGAGGAAGGAGAGCATTAGCAATTGTAGGCGATTAGGATAAGTTGGCACAATAGTAATGCAATAATGCAAGTGAAGGTATTTTCAGGTTAAATAATTTAAAATGAAATTCATATAGATACTTTCTAAATGTCTTCTGGGATCATAATAGCTTTCATTTCTTCAACACATATTCAGTACTGTACAGTTTGCAAATTATTTTGCTCACAGTAACCCTTGGGATTACATTGTAGAATGTACATTGTACATTGTCTTAATTTTACTAGTGAGGAAACTGAAGTTCTCAGAGGTCACAAAGCTATCAGTTGGCAGTGTTGTGATCCATAGATAGCCACTGACTCCCAGATACTGTGTTTTTTCCACTGTTGAACATTTCAGAGCATTTTTGAAATTGTTGACATACTATTAATTGACTTATATTTCAAGTGTTGCCACTCAGTTTTAAAGTGTAAGATAGAAACATTTTTTGTCTACTATTTCTGTGGTTTTGCAAAGTAAGGAGTTTAATGCTACATAAATAAGATTTTGATTTCAAATCTTCATTTAATTTTTAGAAGCTTTCGATTTTAAGTATACTAAATCTACTTCTAGGCATACATTTTTAAACACAGTCTATATTATCTCTTCCCATAGGGCGCAGGTCAAGATAAACTTGGAATTTATGTGAAGTCTGTTGTAAAAGGAGGTGCTGCAGATGTGGTTAGTAAACTTTTTAAATTAGAAAGTTTCCAGGATGTCAGAAGTTTTACTGATTTAAAAACAAGTTGTTAAACTATTTACCAAATGTAGTTGCCATTTTAATAGTTGATTAAAACACTAAATAAGAAGATTCTCTCTTTCCTTCCCTCTTTTTCTGACTTTTCTATAACTTATATATAGGATGGACGTCTGGCTGCAGGTGATCAACTGCTCAGTGTGGATGGGCGGAGTTTAGTAGGACTGTCCCAAGAAAGGTATTTCTTATTTTTGTTAATCATTAACTTTGGCATTGTGTGCACAAATATATTCATGAAACCATTCTTGAAGGTATTCTGTATCCTCAATTTAATGTTTCTAATATGATAGAAAGACTTCTAAATAAATGTATTTTTGAAGCTGGCATAGTTTACTTGAAGTAAAAAAGGTGTTAATAAAATTGTAGGCAAATTTCTAATGGTAGTAAATGGCCCATTTATTCTTTAATAATTCACTTTGAAAAAGAGAATGAGCAATTGGCTATTGATATAAGGTAAAAAGTATAAAGAATCATCTGGGAAAAGTAGATGACGTACCTATTTAGTACTTCTGTTAACCATTGGACTTATTCTTCAGATGTCACAGTATTGACACGATCTTAAGTAAGTTCTTCCATTTCCATTGTTCTCATCCAGGGCAGCAGAGCTCATGACAAGGACAGGTTCTGTGGTGACATTAGAAGTTGCAAAACAAGGAGCAATTTACCACGGTTTGGCTACTCTCCTCAACCAGCCTTCTCCCATGATGCAAAGAGGTGAGAATTAGTCATGGAAAATGGAATGTGTTTTCCATTGTATGTGTTGTTTCCTTAGAGTAATGGTTTTAAAAAAAATTGGGCTTTTATCCAGTTGTACATTAAATTGCTTTATATGTTCTCGTCAAATTGGATTATTTGCTGTACCTTGTGCGTGCCCTGCCCTTTTTCTGCATCTACCCTTTTTATACAGTTATTCTTGGAATGCTTCAATTCCCCGTCTCAGTTGAGAGGTTACCCATCCTCAAATGTCCACTCGAGTACCACCTTATCCACAAAGACTTCCCTAATCCTATAGTTTGTAATGCTCTCTTGCTCTTTCGACTTTTGCTGTTTCGTGTACATAATAATTCCTTGGTAGAGGATATCCAGCGTAGAATCCGAATGCAATAGGAAATGCCTTTAGATGGTCAGGTCCTCCAGAAGCTCCTGTTGTAGGTAACACTGAGTGGATGTTGTAAAGCTTCTTAGTAATCCACAACTATTCGAGACTTTGGGTTAACAGTCTATGCAGGAAAAGCAAGTAGATGAAGAATACCTGCTATACATATTATGATATGCAGTTGGAAGATAACTTGCAGAACTCGACAGTCTGTCTAGTTACACACACTTTTGTACACACACATTGAGCAGATGCTGTCGGAGGATGAGTTGGTTCCAGAATTAAGAGGAAGAAAGTGGGCTGTACTCTTTGTGCAATAGTTTCAATGACCCCCAAGTTGCTCCCTGAAACAAAAACCATTTTCTTAAAAAAAATTTTTTTTGCCTTTTGTTTTTGGGTGCACATTTCCTAATATATCCCTCCACCTACACCTTCCTACAGTATAATCCTTTATAACAAAGACTGAAAAACAAGGGGAAAAAACACGTCAGCAAAACTAACCAATGTATCCAAATAATCTGATGGCATGTTCAGTGTTCTAAACCCATAATCCCCCACCTCTGCAAAGAATCAAGGTGGAGATACCTTCTCATGTCTTTTTTGGGAGATAAGCTTGATGATTATGATTTCACAGCATTCAGTTTCAGTTATTTTCTTCTCATTCTTTGTTTTTACTTGCTTACTTAGTCTCTAAAGAATCAATGTTTGGAGTGGCACTAGTAGCAAGAAAGAACTGCATATTACTAGTGGTGACTTGATGCTGTTTTTGTTGTTGTTGTTGTTGTTGTTCAGTCATGTCTGACTTTTTGTGACTCCATTTGGGCTTTTCTTGACCATGCCCAGGGTCACACAGCTACTAAGTGCCTGAGGTCAGATTTGAATTCAGGTCTTCCTGACTCTAGGCTGGCATTCTATCCACTCAGTCATTTTTTAGTCCTGTCCAACTCTTCATGACCCCATTTGGGAGTTTTCTACGTCATTTCATTTCAGGCTCTGAAAGAACTTAACAGACATGACCTGAATTGCTGACAGTAATGTTTAAGGAATTATGCAAATTAGAAGAGGTATTAGATGACTGGAGACATGCAAATATCCAGAATCTCCAAAAAGGAAAGCAGTAAAAGGGATAGATCTCCTGCTTTGCAAGTGGTGTTATGCGAGGGTTGAAGAAAGAAGGCCGTGATGATTAATAGTTAATAGGGCTCATTAAGAACATGTCATGCCAAATGAACCTCCATTTCCCGTTTTGGATAGTTATCAGGGAAATGCCCTGGATGTTGTTCCTAACCCCATATATCCCATCGGTTGCATAGGTAGTCATGAAAAGACTTGTCTCTTTCTGTTTCTCTTTCTATTTCCCTCTCCCTCTTCCTTTCTCCTAAGCTGCTCCCTTCTCTTCAGCTCTTTTTTTATTCCCATTGCAACCAATATTCAAGATTTTTTCCTTCCCACCTAGACTATTATAATACCCACCTAATGATTCTTCCTGCCTGTTGTCTGACTCTTCTCTAGTCCATTTTCCACATTGTTCTTGTTATCTTAATACCCAGTTATCTGTCCTCACATTTCAAAATATTCAGCTCTTCACCCTGTCATTCAAGGTTCAGTTTACCTCCCTTCATACTATTTGTGCAGTCTGCTATTCCCCTTAATGTGATCTGTGAATCTAATCTCATTACTCTCCATTTTGTGTTCTCAGATGTGCTTAGCTTAGATCTTCATTCCCACCCTCAATATTTCCTTCTGTTTAGATTTCCTAGGCCTACCTCAGATATTACAGTTTCTATGAAACCTTTTTTGTCTACCCATGTGTAGGTAATTGCTAGCTCCTCAAATTTCTGAACAACACTTTCTTGATTTCTTCAGATTTTTGAAAGACTGCTATGTGGAAAGAGGGATTATACTTCTATATATTTTTAGAGGGCATAATTAGAACCAAGGAGTGGAAATTATAAGGAAGTATTTTCTGTTACTTTAAGCTGTCCTAAAGTAGAATAAGCTATTTTATAAAGTAGTATTATTTAATTAAATGGCAATATTAGTCTTTTAATTCACATAGTTTTTCTGAGAGTCTTAGCGGAAAAAATGCTGGAGTTGGAGGCAAAAGACCTGGCTTTGAATAATTAATCAATTAGCAGGCGTTTATTAAGCACCTGCACATGTCAAGCTGTAGGGATACAAAGACAAAAACAAAACAATATGTGCCCTTAAGAAGCTTACATTTGGGGGCAGCTAGGTGGCTCAGTGAATAGAGCATCGACCCTGACTGAAGTCAGGAGGACCTGAGTTCAAATCCAACCTCAGACCAAACACTTGACACTTAGTAGTTGTGTGACCCTGGGCAAGTCACTTAACCCCAATTGCCTTTAAAAAAAAAAGTTTACATTCTTTTGAGGGAAACTCAAAAGGGAAATAAAAAAGGGAAAAAATTTTTTTATAGATCCTTGCAGCACTCGGGCATCCGTAATGTTGCTCTCAGACAATCTCCAAGATATACTTTAAAGCCTAGGTATTCAATACTACAGGAATCTTGACATAAGCAGATGCAGTTTGATCCTAAAGAATCAGGTTTGCTCTGTCTATTTCTGTCCCAACCTTTGAGCAAAACTTCAAGAAAATATCCGAAACGAAGCTTGGGTGGCATTTATTTGTCATCTATCAAGTTGGTCAACTTGTGATAATAGGGTCCTTTGCCATAGACTAATTGACAATAGGAATATCAGGTAGAAGACAACTTTTATTTCCTCTACCACAGAAACTCCTTACAATGAAAGGACTCCCAGGTATGGGTACACATGAACAGTTCTAGGACACGTGGTGATTCTTTTACTCTTTGCCTTCCAGTTTGAGGGCAGACCTGTATGTGGACTTGGGATACTTTTGGGGCTCACCACTCTCAGAGTTGAGCCATTTACTATAACTTCTCAGAACTCCACCGTGCTCATCTCTGTGGTTTTATATAACTACAGCCTGAGGTCAATAGGAGGAAAAGACTTTGCACACCTTAAAGTGTTATATGTGTGAATTATTATATGTCTCAACCCCAGAATATGCTATATCTCAATTGAATTAATGGTAGACAGATTTTTGTCCATTCATTTGGAGCCCTCATCTTATTGAGGTCATGTTGTCATGAGAATTATACCTTTTTTTCTAAATCATTTTTCTGAACCTTTCAAAATCTACTTTCCTAAAGTTTTAAATTAAATGTCTGACTATGCCTTATGTTCCATTTGGCTATCTGGAAGATTGACTTACACAGTTATCTGACTTCCAATTATCTGGAAAATTGACTCTATTCTCAGTGATACCAGATAAATAAGATTGTCAGTATTTTTTTTTAAAACCTTGAGGCTATTGGAAGATTTTGTATTCTATGTGAAAAGACAAGGGAGGAAACTCGGCGTAGTAGAGGGCTCACTTTGGGGATAGAAAGACCTGGTCCTTGACATCACAATTCTTCAGGCAGCTCTCTTAAGACTTTCACTTAGGGGCAATTAGGTGGCACGATAGATAGAGGACTAACGTTGGAGTCAGGAGGACCTGAGTTCACGTCCCACCTCAGCCACAGAACACTGATTAGCTGTGTCCTGGGCAAGTCACTGAACCCCAATTGCCTCACCAAAAAAAAAAAAAAAAAAGACTATCACTTAAAGTTCTTGATCTGCTTGAGTGAAGGGAGTTTCCACAATGAGATTTCCCCATGCTGTAGAAGTCTTATTCTCTGGGTTTAGATTCCTTGTGGTCCCCACACTCAAATGAAAGTTCTGTTTAGCTGCTATGTTCAGCATAGCTATCTTCTTTCAACACTCTAAACCCACCCCCAGTCCGTGATTTTTTTTTAAACTAGTTGAATAATTGATTTCCCTTTTCAGAAGCTAAGAAAAATCTCTGAATGAAATCATGCAAAACATTTTAAGGAGAATCTTTAAGACAAAAAACAAAGATAGCCATTTTAAATGCCCTTTTTTGTTATAGTTTCAGATCGACGAGGCTCAGGTAAACCCCGACCAAAGAGTGAAGGTTTTGAACTGTATAATAATTCAGCACAAAATGGGTCACCTGAGAGTCCTCAGCTACCTTGGACAGAGTATAGTGAACCAAAGAAGCTCCCAGGAGATGACAGGCTGATGAAGAACAGAGCTGATCACCGGTCTAGCCCGAATGTGGCAAGTAAGGCAAATTAAACTTGTTTTTTATGTCCTTCTAGGCATTCAATGTGTTTGTTCTTATATGTGCATATACATAAATACAAGTTGAAGTAATGTTTTAAAGTATCTAAATTAAATGAGAAATATTATGTGAATAGCTCTACCATGAAAAATTTGCCAGAAGTATCAAAGTTATGTAGAATTTTGATTAGAGAGTTAATGCTCTAGGTAATGCCCAAGGGAGTCATATTTTGGAACAAACTTTGAAGACCCTTCCAAAAGTTTCTGTTGTCATTAGGAAGTGCCTGCCTTGTAGCACCAGCGTCAGTGCTGTGGATGTCTGCTGAAGTGGAGTGTGGGCTTATGTCAGCATTTAAAGTTATGTGTTGTCTTTCTTCCTAAGATTGATTGGCTGCCTGGCTTCTAACAGTCCTAATGATGTCCGTGCATTCAACTTGTACTCCTTTCTCTATGAGTACCTATTTTTAAGTAATGAAATATTGTGAAAACAGTTTGCTTATTGAATATTAAGATTTAAATGTAAGAATATATTGAGACTTTTTTTTCCTAACTGTCCCCAACAGATCAGCCTCCTAGTCCTGGAGGGAAAAATACATATGCCACTGGAACATCAGCTAAGATAACATCTGTTTCTACTGGAAATCTCTGCACAGAGGTCAGAAGGAAGAATTTTTCTTATTCTTATTCTTATTTATTTTCTTATTCTTAAACCTGGTTAGGAATACTGATTGCTAGTTGTCAAGCAGTTTTTTTAAAATTGTAATTTAATATTAAATATCATTATGTATTATTTTTCTATACTCAAATGAGTAGTTATCAAATTTTGAGTACTTGGATATTTAGCTTTAAAATTTAAAATTTTAGAATTCCATGCCATAATGTTAAGGTATATTTTATTGTTCTGAAATATTTTCAGATTGCTAGGATGAAACATGTTTCTAAAGATAATTAGAAAGACTCTTCTTTGTGAAAATGGCTACATGTCCACTTTTCCTTTATGTTCTGTGCCTTTTACAGGAGCAGACACCACCCCCAAGACCTGAAGCTTACCCTATCCCAACTCAGACATATACCAGAGAGTACTTTACATTCCCAGCTTCTAAATCACAAGATCGTATGGTTCCTGTTCAGAATCAGTGGACCAATTATGATGAAAAACAACAGATCCAGACAGATAATAATCATTCCGGTGTCATAATTCAGGTTGGAAATGAAATTCAACTAACTTTCTAAAGCTTATTTTGCTGTAAGGCATTTTAGGACTACAAATAGGTTTGGTGAGATGGAACATAATCCTAGGGATAAAGTAGATTGGGGAAATTTTTTAAAAGCAAAATCAGTTATTTCCATGATAGTGTTAAATACTGTATGGGATATAACAAACCTGTCAGGTTTGCAAAACGTTTTGTACTCATTATTTCACCTGATCTTCCAACAATCCTGTTAAAATACTATATTTAGTGTTGGTTCCAGTTTAGAGATGAAGTATCAGTAATGCAGAGATTGTGCTGGTTATGACGCTTGTGAATGTCAGAGTTAGGTTTTAAGCCTATGTTTCTTTTGATTACAGTTCTAAAATGCTTTACTTTTATTACTGTCTTTTGTTTTTACATTTTTGTTTTTTAATATATCCCTCCTTGACCCAACAAGCAATCCCATGTTACAAAAAATAAAACTGAAAGAAGGAATAAAAAACAGGTCAGCAAAACTAAGGAACACATTCACCAAGTCTGCCAAGCCCAACTATATTATACCAACCTGGAGTAAATTCCACCTTTTGTTTGGCACAAAGTTTACTTCACTTAAATATTAAATGAATATTAGGTTATCACTTTCACTTAACATTTGAGAAGTAAAAATATCACCAGTTTTAAAATTTCTTTTCAGAACTCTTATTTGTGTTCTTTTGAACATTGGGGTTCTACAGACTATGATTTAAGGAATGCTGCTCTGCAACAGAAGAATAAAGTGAAATGAGCATTGATGGAGGCAGTAGCCTTTCCTGAGAAATCATTGAAATTACCGTGTACTCAGTAAGGCTCCATCTGCTTTGTGCCTGAAGACCTTCAGTGTAGTCTGTCATTTCTGAACTTTACCAGTCTCTTAATGTAACCTAAGATTGCATTACCTTTCTTGGCTGCAGTATCACACTCCTGATCAGTCATATCAAATTTAATGTTCCCAAAAAACTCTTTTTTAGGCAAATTGTTATCTGGCCATGATTTCTCCATGTTGTACTTAAGAAGATATATATATATTTTTTAATCTTAAGAGTTAGGTTTCACATTTATCTTTAATAAATTATATTTTATTAGATTTTAACCTATTTCTCTGTCCTGTAATTTACTTGTATCACTCTCATATCTCAGTTTTTCCCCTACCACATCTATCTCTTTAATTTTTTTTTTCTGGCTAGGCAGTGGGGTTAAGTGACTTGCCCAGGGTCACACAGCTAATAAGTGTCAAGTATGTGAGGCTGGATTTGAACTCAGGTCCTCCTGACTCCAGGGCCGGTGCTCTATCCACTGCGCCACCTAGCTGCGCCTCTAGGAATTCTTGTCGGGCTTATGTCAAATTGGCATTTTTCTTGAGACTTCAGTTATAGCTGTTTTCACATTTGTTATCTTCTTCTGATTTTGTGTCTTGATCTTCCCTGCCACTGTAGTCACTTTTTCTGGTCAAGTTCTTTTTTGTTGGTTTGCTTGTTTTCCCAGGCTATTTCTTGACTTTGAACTTTATGTTAAAGTTAGACTGTGTTCATCTAGGGGTGAGGTGATAATGTTCCAAGCTTAGGGCTTTTTCATGCTGCTCTTTTCAGAGCTACTTCTGGGGATCTACAAGTTTTCGGTGCTTTCAAGGTGGTTTGATATGAAGAAAGGTTATTGTTCTCCTGGTCTGTGCTCTGGTTTTTATTTAGAAAGGACCCCTGGTCCCTTGCAGCCACAAGCACTAGTGCTTCTCTCTCCCCTGGAACTGCCACCCAGAACTGTGTGTGGTCAGTAGAGTTACCAAGTAGTACCAGGCTCCGCATCTAGTGCCAGCAAAGGGCCCTCTGGAATCTTCTTCTAACCAGCTGTCCAGTTCGCAGAGACTGTTAAGTGTTTGTGCTGAGAGCAGCTGAATCTGCCGTTGCCACTGTTGCAGGCATCTCCAAGGCCCTCACCTCTAGTGCTGATGTTGTGTGTACTCTAGGCTGGTGCCCATCCTGGTCACAGACTTCTACTGACCTCCTAAATTGTCTTAGGCTGAAAAAATGTCACATCCCAACCTTTTGTTGGCTCTGCCATTCCAGAATTCTTTTTGAGGCATTGTTTTAAAGTTATGTGAAGGGGAATATTGAGAGAGTTTGACTGGGTTGCTACCTTTACTCCACCATCTTGGCTCTGTCTTCAATAATAACTTAAGTGTCTTTAGCAGTTCTTTAAGACTAACAGGTTAAGTGACTTGGCCAAGGTCAGATAGCCAGTACAGTAAATTCAGAGACAAGAATCAAACCAGTCTTCCTTACTACAAGACCAGCTCTCTATCCTACTTTTCCACATGGTCCCTCTCTATCAGTCAAGTAACACTGTCATAAAAAAAGAGAGATATCCTATTATTAATGGAGTCTAGAATTTTGCCAGGCATCACTGTCAAGGTCACTAACCTGGACTCCTTCACTCCCTCCAATTTTTTTTTTTTAATTGGTACCATTTTCTCTTCTATTCTTATAGTAACTTCCCATTTTTGATGATCTTACAAATATCACTGATAATGAGTGTCTCGGTCAATGACTTCTGCCATTTCTTTTATTAGAATTTTCTAGATAGGATATTGTTAGGGCTGGAAAGACCCTTAGTGATAACTCAGTCACAGAAACTGTAGTTGCAAAAGACCTTAGCTTGCCAGCCACTCCAGACTACTCCCAAAAGGAATATTCACTGTAAAACACATGGCAAGCACTAACATTTATGTAGCACTTTAAATTTCACAAAGCTGTAGTGTATATGTGTGTGTGTGTGTGTGTGTCTGTCTGTCTGTCTATCTGTCTATCTGTCCATCAATCTTGTAAGACCAGGTAGGTGCTCTTATCCTCACTTGGCAGAGGAAGAAACCAAAGCTTAAGTGCTTTGCCTACAGTCACAGCACTAGTCACTATGCGATGCAGAATTTGAATTCACTTCTTTCTGATGGCAGATCAAGCACTAACATACCTGAGAAATAGTCTTCCATCTTATGCTTGAAGATCTCCAGTCAGTCAAGTTTCTATTAAGCACCTACAGTGTGCCAGGCAGGCTCTGTGCAAAGTGCTGGGGTCACAGGTACAAAGAATATAAACAGTGTCTACCTGCAAGGAGCATACCTTCTAATGGGGAAGATAAGTACATATGTTAACATAAAGTTAACAAATACAAAATGGTTTGGAATATCAGCAAGTTGAGGGGATGGGGGAGAAGAGGCTTCCTGCCAAAAAATGATTCCTGAGCTGCCTCTTAAGAGAACCAAGGTAAAGAGGGAATGAATTCCAGGCCTATGAGACAGCCAGTGCAAAGTCTTATAGACAGGAGATGAGTATCATGTGTGAGGAACAGAGAAGGCCGGTTTGGCTAGGAAGGGGGGGGAGTACTGTCCAGTGCCATTGGTAAGATAAAATTATGGCCAGGTTGGGTAGGACTTCAAATGGTAAACAGAGGAGTTTGTATTTTATCCAATAAGGAATAATCCACCACTTCCCAAGACAGCTCATTTTACTTTGAGATAGCTGTAATTGTTTGGACTTTTTTTCTTACATCAGGTCTAAATTAACCTCTTGGCAACTTCCTTCCACCAGTTGTACTTGGTTCTGCCATCTTGGGCCAAAAAGAACAAATCTTAGCTGCCATATCTGTCCTGAATCTTCTCAGAGTTCTCCAGGTTAAACAGACCTCGTTTTGTGAACTGCTCCTAATGTGATAAGAACTCATCATATGCCAAAACTCTTCTTAATAAAGCTAACCCTTCTACACCTGAAGTTGAGTCCATCCCCTCCTGTGTCCTTCTAGCAGTCTGCCCCCTATTCATCCCCTCTCTAATCTTCAGTATCTCCACGTTTGCTGGTTACTTCTGTACAGCCTTTAGACTTACCCTAGTCCCTTTCATCCTTAAAAAGCCTTCACTAGAGCCCTTAAACTATTTGCCTATGTCTTCTTTTTCCTTTCCCAACCAAAGTCTGAGAAAATGCTGTCTTCATTTGCTGCCTCCGTCTTCTTCTGACTTTGCAATCTTTTGCAATCTGTACTCCAGTCCTATCACTGAACTGAAACTACTTTCTTCACAATTAACTCTCAGGTGTACCCCATGACTGTCCTGGGCCCTCTTCACTCAATACTATCTTTCATGTGACTTCATCAGTTATCATTGGTTTAATTATTATCTAATAAGATGATTCACAGATGTATATGTATATCTGTGCATATATACATATATGTGTATACATATATATGTGTATATGCACACACAAATCTGTGAACTGCAGACATCCTGAATCATCTGAATAGGTAACTAAATCACTAGCAACTGAGGAAGTTGTCACAAAAGGTCGCATTGAATGAAGAAGGCCCTAGAGGGTGTTGAGGTCGACTCAGTCATAAGAAGGCACAATATGGTTGAGTATCTCCTGAGTGTCAGTTCCACATTACCAGGTGCCTAAGGGATATTTCAAACTGAATATCTCAGAGACATCTCATTCAGAACGACCATATGTCCAGTCGGCTGCTGAAGCATGACATTTCTGCCTCCGTCCCCTCTTTTTCAAATTTCTTGTTGTCTCTACTCACATAGCTCCCACTTTCATTTAGGCCTGATTATCTGTCTCCTATGCTATTGTAATGGCCTTTTCATTATGCTCCCTGTCTTGAGTCTCTCCCTGCTCTAATCCAGGCTCCACATACCTGCCATAGCACTTTTTCTTATGTATTTGTTGTGTTAGCACTTTGAGGCCTCGCCCCAACCCAACTTTTATTATGTGGTACTTGCCATATAATAAAATATTCCATAAATAAATATAAAATAAAATGTAAATGCCATATGGGAGCCTGTCAGAAAGAGTATGTATCAATATATCATCACTTCTTGCCTGGACTATTCAAATAGCTTCTTAATTTACTTCCCTGTATCCATCTTCTCAAGCCCATTCTCCACCCAGCTATCACACTGGCATTCCTAAAGCAAGAGTCTGATCATGT